TGTTACGATATCAAGTGCACCTTGCAGCTCGAGTGGGGGTTCAGGGGTGTGGGGAGCTTTCCGGGGTTGGAGCGAAGTTTTCAGTTGTGGAGTGAATTCTCAGAACTGGTGTTGCTAAAGAGAATTCACTCTACAACAACATAGCTGTATATAGATTGAGCAACTTCTCGAGTCCTCCTCTTCTCTTTCCTTTCTTCTCTATATTGAGTTTAATTCATAATACCCCACTGGTGCCCTATGCCTTGGTGAACCATGATACCTGCATTCTTGCGCTACATTAAGGGATACTTGGTATAGCAAGCCCTATAAGGGCTCAAAATCCCTGTCCCCCCCATGAGCAGAAGGAGGCAGTGATCTCCATGATGGCCTGCCATCTAGTTGTTATGGCTACAGTAACATGACGTCATGGTTACAGGGCCAGGGCCTAGTAACGTGACGTGTGAGTCACAGGGGGCAAGCGGGGTAGGCTGCCATGTGACGGGGCTAATGGATAGTTGCAGAAACTAGTGGATATTGGATAGTTGAGCTATCCACGAACTATCGTGAATATCTAGCTATCCGCCAACTATCCAGATTACCCATGAGGCAGGACGCCACTATATAAGTAGATAGTATTTCCTTAGATAGGAGCTTCATGCTCAACTCAATATAGTATTCTTTACAATACTGTAACGTGTTACTTGGAAAGCCTTTGTGTCTAATCCCCTGCCTCCTCTGTCAAGTCAACCTTACGCAAGAAACCTCTGTGTCTTCTATCGTTTAGAAGTCAGCGTTACACTAGTAGACAGAGCTCTTCACCGTAGACGATCGATGTTAGGAGCGCCAAACCCTTGGTGTTCTATTTTGATGTTGTCCTTAGCGATACGAATGAGGATTTGGAAGGAAGTCATGTGGCGATAACACTGTAGCGACAATGAGAGTTAGGCAGCAGCAACACTGCACTGATGACAAGAAAAGCATTCAGCTGCAACATCAGATGTGGTAAGAAGCCGGCCTAACGACCGTGTGTTCGACTCTGCCCATTAAGGGGCAGAGGGTAATAACCTAGAAACACTGGTGGCTGAATCGTTCAGTGAAGGCAACAGTGAGTTTGGTAGTATCCAGCTCACTAGTCAATTTTTCTCATTATATAACTTTCCTACAGACTACATCAGGGGGCTGTTGAGGGAAAGAGAATGGCAGCTTTTCCTAGTGCTATCATCAGGCTCCCTAATTAGCGCTTGGCATGAGCAGATTTCCTCAGAACTCCGATGCATTAGGTTTTAGTTAGGCCCAAACCCTTCTGTTACTCAGTATGTTTGGGTAGGCCCTCCAAACAACATAAATAATACGTAGGCTCTGTACGGAGGCATGTACCAAATGTCCTTGTTGGGCTAACAGTGCTAAGGAATGTGGCGTTCAGGGCTAAAAATAGGGGTAAAGTTAGTAAATAGGAATAGTCAATTCGTATTTTGTAGAGTAGAAGATAATACAGATATTAAATATGCCTTCATACTCTCTTGCAACATGAGCTCAAGCTATAGGACTCCAAGCTTATGGAGCTACATATCAGCAAATTAAAGAGAATACAAAAATTTCCAAGTAGAAAGTGCGATACTACATGGCTGAAACACGCTGCTGTGGATATAATCAAGATATCAACAAGCAATTATTTGATAAAAATCTTATTGATGCCCCTCGAACACGACGCCATTGGAAACTAAGTGCAAATGGCGAAGAGACTCTTATAAACAGTATAAAAATGGACTGGAACTCTTGAGAGAAGACAGAGGCAACAATTGGTTATGAACATGGTGTGTCTACAATGACTGCTTTTCGAGTACTACAACAGCATAAACTGATAAAACGAAAGCCAACATGGAAACCAGGATTAACTAAAGCAATGAGAGAAGCACGACTACAATTTGCACTGCAATATGCACATTGGACTCTCACATATTGGAAAAACATTATATGGATAGACGAAATATCTATTGTCCTTGGCCATCGACATGGAGGATTTTATAACACTGACTTCTAAACGATAGAAGACACAGAGGTTTCTTGCATAAGGTTGACTTAACAGAGGAGGCAGGGAATTAAACACAAAGGCTTTCCAAGTAACACGTTACAGTATTGTAAAGAATACTATATTGAGTTGAGCACGAAGCTCCTATCTAAGGAAATTGTAATGGTGGGTGCACCAGATGTGAGAATCTAGCCACCCAAGGAAGGGATGATTTTACTAAGACAACACACTGTCTTAGGAAACAGAGCCAAAGGGTTGTAGCTTAGACTATTCCACAACGCAGCAATCAGGTGTATGATGTGGTGAAGTGGTTTAGACAAGTTGCAACAAATGTTGAGTCTGAGAACTCAGGGGTAAGTCAGAGGTTAGCACCTCACTGACTTTTCAAAAACAGAGAATAACAAGATCAATGCTTGGAAGCTTGGAAAAGACGTAGAAGTATGTGCTAGTCAATTTACTGTATTGTCTGCTTGCCCTTTCTTAAGGAAAGGGCAATCCTATTTATGCTAAAGGAGTGTAGTTCTTTCATTTTTGTAATGGTGGGTGCACCAGATATGAGAATCTAGCCACCCAAGGAAGGGATGAATTTACTAAGACAACACACTGTCTTAGGAAACAGAGCCAAAGGGTTGTAGCTTAGACTATTCCACAACGCAGCAATCAGGTGTATGATGTGGTGAAGTGGTTTAGACAAGTTGCAACAAATGTTGAGTCTGAGAACTCAGGGGTAAGTCAGAGGTTAGCACCTCACTGACTTTTCAAAAACAGAGAATAACAAGATCAATGCTTGGAAGCTTGGAAAAGACGTAGAAGTATGTGCTAGTCGATTTACTGTATTGCCTGCTTGCCCTTTCTTAAGGAAAGGGCAATCCTATTTATGCCAAAGGAGTGTAGTTCTCTCATTTTCCATGACTTTCCATGACTAACCAGGCTTGGTAAATGTATTAGAAATCAAGTGCGACCCACAACTAGCTTGCTAATCATGTAGTGAACGTAAGAGAATCCCATAGAACCATCTCTTGGGTTCCTAGCCTATAGGAAGTGAAAAGGAGGTCCAAGGTCAGAGTACCTATAGATAAATTATGTCATAACTTAACCAATCTTGTGGGTAACTAAGGAGCGATGACGTGTAATGAATCATAGAGGGTTGTAGAAGCTTCTAGAGCTATCGTTCATGTTCCTAGGCCTCTAGTTGGTAGATATATGCCATGTGGTAGTATTGGCCCACCCCCTTAAGGAGGAGATTTTCTTAATAACTTGTTCAATGAGTGTTCAAATGATATGCCGTGATGTATGTAGCATAAACAGATGTAGTAGAAGAGTTTGCAGCAATCGTTGAGTAGTATTGCTTCTGTTGTTGGTGTGATAAGCCAAGATATGTATGGTGACTTGTAGGTTTGAGGAGGAGATTTCTAAGTTTGCTCTTGAGTTTGATAGCAAACTGAGTGCAACGAATGTCAGTATGACAATTTTCCATGACTTTCCATGACTAACCAGGCTTGGTAACTGTATTAGAAATCATGTGCGACCCACAACTAGCTTGTTAATTATGTAGTAAATGTAAGAGAATCCCATAACCATCTCTTGGGTTCCTAGCCTATAGGAAGTGAAAGGAGGTCCAAGGTCAGAGGACCCCTATAGACAAATTATGTCATAACTTAACCAATCTTGTGGGTAACTAAGGAGCGATGAGGTGTCATGAATCATAGAGGGTGTAGAAGCTTCTAGAGCTATTGTTCATGTTCCTAGGCTTATAGGTGGTAGAGATATGCCACGTGGTAGTATTGGCCCACCCCCTTAAGCAGGAGATTTTCTTAATAACTTGTTCAATGAGTATCCAAATGATATGCCGTGATATATGTAGCATAAACAGATGTAGTAGAAGAGTTTGCAGCAATCATTGAGTAGTATTGCTCTTGTTGTTGGTGTTATAATCCAAGATATGTATGGTGACTTGTAGGTTTGAGGAGTAGATTTCTAAATTTGCTCTTGAGTTTGATAGCAAACTGAGTGCAACGAATGTCAGTATGACAATATACAGAGCATACTAGTGCTGAGTTATGTGGAATACTTGAAAAAGTTATCACAAGGTAGCATTTAGAAGGACAAATTATATCCATTACGACTGATAATGCATCAAACAATAAAGACTTGTCACGAGCTGCACATGAAGAATGGCAAATGTGCTACCAACAAGGTGAAGAAAGAGATAGGGCTGACCATCTTAACGAAATCTTATACAACATCCCAGATGACAATTGTAAGGATGCCTTCTTGTTTCTCATTCTAGGGAGTAGACTCTGGGTAGCTGCGGGGTCACGTGTGATCATTTGGGTGGGCTAACCGAGTCGGATGGGTTTCGGGTACTTGAGACAATCGTCTCATGGGGTTCCCCCATCATCTTTTTTGTATCCTTCGTAGTAGACCTATAGGATAGCATCCGTTTAGCCTCCGACTCGCACTCTCATATGCTATTACTGTGAGCTGGGTGCCCTGTGTCCTTACAGTACTCACCCAGCTGAGTAACCCACTGAGGAGCGAGTAGTGCGCAGCAAGGACTTTTGGTAGACGCCTCCGTAGGTAGTGTAGTAATTTAATTCAATTCATTCTATATACTGTAGTATACTGTCGAGTTTACCTGCCCGTTGCGCAAAAGCCCAAAGGTCCGGTCACCAAACACACCGCACGATTTGCGCGCGGTCGCAATATTTCGGTCCTTCCAACAAGAGCGTCACTCGCTTGTGTGATTATTTTTTCAATTTTTCAATTTTGTGCGTCACTCGCTTGTGTGCGTCACTCGCTTATGTGCGTCACTCGCTTGTGTACGTCACTCGCATGTGAAATACGTTATAGTATTTACAGGTCGTTTAAAATAATTGGCTCGGCTGTTATATTTATGGTCTGATTTCTGTTGATAGGCCAGATATTTTGGAGTAAGGTTTACTTTAAAATGGAGTTGTCGGGAAGGGCGACTATTGTATGTCACGTATCAGTTATCCACTTCCAGGTTGTGTTGTTCGTTATATCACCATCTATTCATAGTACACATACAAACTTCTCTTGGACATCGCATTTTAATGCTTTTGATAATAACTTGCCTTCGTTCGTCACACCATCGCAACCGCCAAAATGGCGGACATGAACGAATACGTCGCTACTGAGACGATTAAAGCAGAAGAGAAGATATCCAGGTATCGACCAGGTGGATTCCACCCTGTTGCTCTTGGCAATTCCTTCAAACAAGGCCGCTACACTGTCGTCCATAAACTTGGCTATGGGGGGTTTTCTACCGTATGGGTTGCATATGACGATATGTTAGTTCTATAACTAAGCAAATTCCTTTTGGGGTGATGCTGACAAGTGGTAGCCTTCATCAATGGGTGGCTCTCAAAATCATGACTGCTGCAATGACCGAGACATCGCGAGAACTCAGGTGGTACGATGCATTGGGGGTATGGCGCCCAGACAGCCTATACTCTAAGTACGTTGTCCGATTACTGGATCATTTCCTTATCGAGGGGCCAAATGGTGCGCATTTGGCGCTGGCATTTGAGCTTATGGGCCCCAATGTCAGATCAATTGTCAAAACCGAGTACCACAATCGCGCAGAGGTTGATCCCATAACCATCCTGAGAATGACAGAACATGTGCTCAAAGCGCTTGAATTTATCCACCAGAGCGGATTTGCACATGGAGGTATGGTCCACTATCGGCTGGTCTCTGGACCGGTTCGAAACCCCCTACCACATTGTGACTGGGCACCTGACCTGCAACAGATGTAAGCACCAAAAACATGGCATTTAAGGCCGAGCATCTGTCAAATATGACAAAAGAAAAACTCTTCGAGGTCCTTGGAGCTCCCTCAATCGGGAACGTGGCTCGTGTTGATGGGCAGCCACTCGCAGATGGAATACCCTATTACCTCGTAGGTAGCGCAACCTGGGGTGGATGGGTTAACGAATGTGACGAGGACTTTCGGCTTCTTGACTTTGGAGAGTGTTTTGTTCTCGGAAGGGAACCTGAGATTATCACCCAGCCTGGGGGATTAATGCCACCCGAAACTGTTCTCACAGAAGTGTATGACTACATAGTTGATCTGTGGCGTGTTGGCATTGCGGTAAGATTTATCATTGGTCTAATTCTCGGGAAACTATGCTCACACCGTGGTGGTAGATCTATTCGTTCGTATTTGGAGGACTCCCATTCTATTGCATTGGGGACAGAGACAACCTTGTTATCCAGATGATCGAATTTATCGGAGACCTTCCACAAGAGTGGAAGCCCAGTTTTGATCACTTGAGGATTGACTTCAGAAGACAGCCGCTGCTAGGTCAGTAATTTTCAGCCCTTGCCCAATATATTGGGCAATCCATTCAAGTTCTACTCTTATTGGGCGATGCGGACAGTATCTAACAGAATCATAACAACAGATGGCGACCTTCGCGTTGACCGAGGGCTCGAATACAAATTCAAACATCAGATCCACGAAGCAGAGCTGCAGCCCCTCCTCCCTGTCATCCAGGGGCTGATGAAGTTCAGGCCGTCCGAGCGAATTTCGGCGCAACAAGCTCTGGAGATGATGAAGTCCAGGTAGCAGGGGGACAGAGTTGTAATGGCACGTGCGATGAGCAAAGAGGCGGATGGAGTACCGCAATTTAGCGGGCGTCTAACGGATAACTTCTTCTAAAACATGTTTCAGTATCAGCGTCAGTCTAGCCTCTCATTATCACATCGACATTTGGGACCACAGAGGCAGCATCCCATTATACCATGTGAAACCAGGATATCAGCCTTGTAGAATATTCTGGCTACCTGGCTCTATAACCTGGCTCTAACCTGTATCCTTAAAGCACGTTTCTGGAAGGTTCAAAAAGATCGTCTACCTCAGGCACACCATCCACCCGATTTTCAACCGTATACAACCAGTCTCGATCTTTCAAGAACTGCACCAATGTCTTTCCATCCCCTGCATCGGAATCTAGGGCAAACAAGCCATTTTCTAGAAGCGTTGGCAAGCAAGAATACGCGCGATCTTCATTTTCTAGTGCATTCTGAAGAATGGAGCGTCCGCCCTCGTCCCTCGTGTGCATATGGGCACCCGCTTTGACCAACATCATGAATACGCCCATGCCTCCTCTCTCTACGCAATATGATAGAGCTGTCCGTCCTACTACCGTTCTGGAATTGAGATCCATACCCGATTCTATTAGAATTTCCATGAAGTCGTCATCTCGTTGGTTCAGGATTGCGATGTGTAGCGGCGTCTTGTTATCCTCAAAACACTCCAAGTTCGGTATTAGGGCCGAGCTCAAGTATTACCTTCAGCGCTGGGATACACCATGAATCCGGGGCCGGTTTGCTATTCATCATCATGAGATGGAGCGGAGTGTATCCCAACTCGTCTTGTGCGTTGATATCAGCCCCGTTTTCAAATAGGAGCCGAATAGCTGGAATCACCTTCGCATTTGGTGGTAGTTTTGTTCTTTTCACAAGTTCCCATGTCCCTTTATGAGCGAGGTTTTGGTATTCCTTCTGAATAGCAGCTTGCCATTCCGGCCAGTCTGCTTTCTGCTTTGCTTCTTCAATTGAGTTTGGATCATCATAGATCGATGCATGTGCCCCTGCTGTGTATGCTGTAATGTATGCTTCATTAAAAGTCGAACTTTGATTCTGTGACTGTGTGAGCTTCATAGCTTGAGCAGGTTGACTGCGAGTCTGATTGCGAGTAACTCTATTGAACTTAAAGATCTAAGCAAGGAAAAGGGCCTTCCATGGACACTTGCCAAGGTATGTTTATAGTAATCATTATAGTAATATCAACTAATACTATACTAGCTTCGGAAGCTAGCTGTCTTTGTGAATTCTAGCTCACAGCGAAGAGAGCGATTTATGGAATTCAAAGACAATGCATTAAAGATGGAGCAAAACTCCTACGACTTATCCAAGATGTGTCAACCCGGTGGGATTCAACACTAGATATGATGCTACGAGCGATCCTACTCTAGGAAGCAGTAAATAAGTTTACAACTGAGTTTACTCTAGCTATTATCTTCCATATTACTTTGGAAGAGTGGAAACATATCACCTACCTTATTGATGTTACTTGCCTGTAAGGACACAGGGCACCCAGCTCACAGTAATAGCATATGAGAGTGCGAGTCGGAGGCTAAACGGATGCTATCCTATAGGTCTACTACGAAGGATACAAAAAAGATGAAGGGGGAACCCCGTTGAGTCTGTTTCCTTAACTCCCGAAACGGGCCCGACTCGGTTATCCCAACCCTAGCCCTGAACCTTCCACTGCAACAGGTCTACATCGGCCCTGAACCCTATACACTTACCGTCCCCCACTATAGTGTAACTCGCTATATGCTCCTCTACTGGTTCGAAACCACACCGAGTTGGATTTCATGCTTGTAGTGACCGTATCAGTTCTGAGACAGGTTCTTTGAGTATCTAGGTAAGGAGGCATCCTTACATTGCCAGTTTAGCTTCTGGACTTCAAATATAGGTATAGCAAGTGGTGCACAACTAGGCTTTGTTCTACTAGCATATGATGAGCTATTTGAAGGGCTTGAGGAGTGTACCTGTCGGCTTAAACCATTACAAGATCCATGGATTCCAAAGCTCTTAAAAGCTATTGATAAAGCTGTATAAAAGCTTGATAAGTATTATAGCTTCTCTTGTACAGGTATTGGTAACTTCTATGCTTTTGGTGCTATTCTATCTCCACGGTTAAAGATGGAAGTGTTTAACCCTGATTATTGTTAGTTGAATCCTAATACAAACTGGCAAAGGCATTTTGAGAATGAATTCCGGGCATTATACACTCAACATTACGCAAACCAAGAAAGATCGAAGCAGCACCAATCACACTATATGGAACTAGACAAGGACCCAATGGCTCTAATGTTAAATCGGAAGTGAAGCTATAATTCCATCAGTCAAACTGAAGATCAAGGAAGAGAGATTGAGCGATACCTTGCCCTCTGTAAGTTTATAGTAATGATTATAGTAATCACCTACATGTATAACGAACTGGCCAAACAAGCGAACCGGCCAAAATATCGCGACCACAATACAGGAATTGCGATAAATCCACCACAACACTAGAAATCAATTGAAACTACTCAGAGTCCTCTTCCTCAGATGTGTCTATTACAACCTGACAAGTGCGCGCATATGTCCAGTCCCACCACAATTGCTACAGCGACGTGCGTGGGTTTCTTCCCTTGGCTTCCGACCACTACTCGCCCTTATTTCTTGCTCCACTTGCTGTACAACATCCCTCTCATCCTGTAGCTCCTGTGCTACTTGTTGACTAAGTGATCCTCTTTGCTGTAATCGTGTTTTTTTAGCTCTCCGGCGCTTGCTTAGCACTTCATTTGCCTGTCGCAGGTTCTCGTTCTCTGCCTTCAACAATGCTAATTGATGCATTATTTGCGATGTACCCTTTGTAAACTGGTCAACAGCTGTATAGATTGAGGTTGGAGAGCTATTTTGATGATGCGCAATTCAGTTTTTAATGAAGGTAGACTGTGATGAGGCTTCAATTGGGTTGTTTGGTGTTTGGGAAACCCAAGGTTGAGCAGTACCCGGGCGGGAGCTTGGAGGCGTTGGTGTCTTTAACTTAAGATCAAGTGTAGAGATCACACTCTCAGGGTCGAATGGGAGAAGTCCAGCACCCTGGAAGCCTCCTTGAATGTTGCTTTCTGTCATTGCAATGTTAAATGCAGCATAGAAGGCAGGAAAGAAGTCATCCTTAGTAATATGAGAAATATGAGCCTGCATCATATCTTCAATTTGCCGACCATAAGCCCTTTTTAATGGGCTAAAACAGCCAACATCAAGTGGCTGGAGTAGATGAGAGGAATGAGCAGGCATACAGAGAGTTATAATGTTGTGTTCTTTGCAGTACTCCTCAAACTTGTCCGAGTGGTGGCTCTCATGACCATCAAGGACTAATAAGCGATAACCACTGACACTCCGCAGCTTTGTGTGCTTCTCAAAATGCTGAATCCAATCCATGCCTCTCTCGTTTGTAGTCCAGCCATTTTCAGTAACAGCAATTACCCAATCGCTTGGAAATCCACTATTCTCATACCAAGATGCAAGGTGGTTTTTGCCTGCAACAATGACGAATGGCGGCACTGCCCAACCCTGAGAACTAACGCCTTGGATTACTGTAACCCATTCCCGATTGCCAGGCTGTACCTTCTTTGCTTTTGCCCGCCCGTCTGAGCTTGTTACAACAGTAGCAGTTGAGATAACACCCATCATAAACCCAGTCTCATCAAAGTTGTAGATATCTGCTTTATGGATACCATATTTCGCAATTGTGTTATGCACAAGCTCAAACCAGCCACGTATAAGTTCTGGATCTTCACACTTAGCCCTCTGGTAGTCGTATTTGCGCTGGAAGCGTGTCCGGAGCTCTACACGCTGCTTAACAAAGTTTGAAGCGCAACGCGACCCAACGCGTGGCGCGTCGCGTGTTTCAAGTAGTCGATTTGCCATATCTGCAACAATAGACAACTGAGGAGGAAACCCTTTGGTAGCTAGGTCGAGTATATATTGAACAAGGACTGATTCCTCTAAGTTAGTTAATTTCCGTAAGTTGGCTTGAATATTGCGTCGTGAAGGTATGCCTAATAAACGACGGCCTAGCTTGCGGTGGTCAACAGAATAGATCTTAGCAGCAACTCGAGGACGTAACTTTGGGTCGCTTTGTATAGCTTGGATAGCTAGCATCAACTGGCTTTCATCATTTTTCCGGGGCATGTTTTGTTGTTGAGTAATTTAGCATTTAGTTGGGGGGTATTGTGGTCGCGATATTTTGGCCGGTTCGCTTGTTTGGCCGGTTCGTTATACATGTACGTTATATCAACTTCATCAATATGGATATTGCACAGATTAATCCATTTCCTCAGGATGTGCGCACTGCTTTTCAAACCTATATTCATAGCTTTAGCTATAGTAATAGAGAGCGGATAGACTACTTAAAATACCGTCAATTACTCCTCTATCTTCAGAACCCATCATTGAAACCTGCAAATCCTATTGAATCACGACTTAAGCATCGTGCGCAAACAGAGTTTATGCTTCTACATAATAAGCTCTACTATAAGCCTACTACTAGGTTTCAAAACCCACTATGTTAATTCTTGAGAGCGATGCATTTGGTACTATTATCAACGAACACCTACAACTCCTACACGCAGGCCGTACAAAAACATGGAATATCATACAACAAAAGTTCTATGGACTAAAGAGAGAAGAAGTAGAGTTCATTATAAAGCGGTGTAAGAACTATACTCTAAATCGACCATCTACTACAAAAGCTCCATTAGTCCCTATTATAAGTGGGCGAGCGTGGGAGCAGGTTCAAATTGATCTAATTGATATGCGCCATGAGCCTTCAGGGCAATATAAATGGATTCTGCATATAAAGGATCATTTCTCAAAGTATACACAGCTATACCCATTAAAGAGCAAGCACGCAGGGCCAATTGCAGACTGCTTTGCTCAATTTATCGCAGCTTTCTTACCTCCAAAGATTATGCAAGCTGATAACGGAAAGGAATTCAAGGGAGCCCTACTTATCCTACTACGCAAGTATGGAATTCAAGTGATAAATGGAGCGCCACGGTCACCACAGACACAAGGCCTAGTTGAGCAAGCCAATGGGGTTGTTGAAGCAAAGCTACGAGCATGGACAATGGATCATGGATCTATGGAGTGGAAGGATGGGCTACTTGAGGTTATGCTTGCAATGAATACTCAAATCCACTCGACAATTGGATATGCACCAGCTGAGCTACTATTCCGAGATAGGAGCTCTCATATTAACTGGCTTAATAGCCAGGCGCGGAAGGATCTCTCAATTGGAGTTGAGCAGGAAGACCCAACGATGGCACCGATTCTTGAGAGTGAGCTCCAGCAAGAGCGAGAGCTCTCGATCAATTCTGAGCTGGCGCTATCGATCAATTCTGAGCTAGCGCTATCGATCAATTCTGAGCTGGCACCCTCAATCAATTCTGAGCTACTTCTCTCGCTCAATTCTGAGCTGGCGCTCCTACCAATTCCGAGCGAGCATTCTCACTCAATTCTAAGCTAGCGCTCTCACCCAATTCCGAGTGAGCACTCTCACTCTCACTCAATTCTGAGCTGGCAGAATCGATCAATTCCGAGCAAGCGCAAGAGCAGCTTCATTCTGAGCTCGGCATGGGAGCCGGAGTCGAGTAGCAGCCCAGCCTAGAACTGAGCTTAGAGCCCCCATTGATTCTATAATTGAGCGGGCTACAGTAGCAACTCAAAAGGCAAGGGTTCTTATGATACAAAAGTATAGTAAGAGGCATAATATCCAACACTTCGATATTGGAGCTATAGTCTCTATCAAGGTTCCTCGAGAGGATAGAACCTCAACTGATAATAAGAGGCTCTT